CTTGTAGTAAAACCTGAAGCTGTAAGTTTAAAAAGCAGGCACCGTTAAAGCATATCCCAAATGAGGGAGAGTGCACTACACATCACAGAGACATTTATGTACAGAGAGGTAACCATCTCGGCCTTGATTTCATTACCATTCAAACATTTTTCTAATCATCTTCAAACCCAAACCCTGGAGGTGAGAGAAAAGCACTATCCACAGTCAACTAACTCCTGAAATACACAACAGTGTAGACTTTCCCGCCACAAGAATGTGTCAGGTAGACATTTAAATATAATGTTCCAGTACATATCCATAAACTGCCTAAAAGATTCTTATACCTAAATATTTTATCAGTTCAGTTCCTTAGACAAAAAAGGTACATTTAGCTCTAATAGGTCTTTAAAATCACATGTAGCAGTTTTAACTGACATGAAAGATCTAATTATACGAGGCCAGAAGAGCAGCAGAAAGCACAAAATTTGGGCCACAGAGGACAATGATCCAGCAACTAAAATCCTAAGAAAGAGTAAACAGATGCAATTGAAAGGGACCCAAAGCTGCAGACAGCCATGCACAGCACCCCCTAGCAGGGATCTGCTATGTGGGAGTCGTCCTTCTTTCCTTGGTCTGGGCTCCCATGATGTATCGCTGTTTATTTGCACGAGGTCGCTTTAAACACTGACATCACCAAGCTGGAGCCATTTAGCCCAGAGACACCTGACCTTTTCACAAGCTCCACAGCAGGTCCCTGACTTAAAAATGCATCCAGACTCTTTTCATAAGCCTTTGTCGCTGGTCTGAGTGCTGATGAATGCGTACAGAAAAGACTGGTTTGATAAATAAAGAATCCCAGAAACAAGTCTCTTCAGTGCTGCAGGAGCTGAAACACTCTTAAGAAGCAAATTTCAATGGAATCACCGGGAAAAAAAACACAAAATCAACCCATAGGATTCTATATATACACTTAGATTTGCAAGGAACAGAAGTATGTTTATCAAAAGACATCTTCTAAAGAGTAATAAGTGAGTTTGCATTAGTGCTGCGTGTTCAGCAAGCAGGCTTTTTAAGCAGCCTCTAATCTGCTGAGCCCACCGCCTGCGGCCGGTTCCGGCAGAGAGCAAAGTCAACATCGGTCCGATTGGTCTCGGATACGGCGGCGCGGGAGCCGCCTGTCAAGGCCGCCACACAGAGATAATGGTGTGATATTAGGTGCGGCTGAAAGATAAGGGGCAGATCAGCGCGGTTTAGGAGGGTGATTTTACACCAATTACGCTCGTCCGCTCACTCTGGTCCGGCCGCCAGTCGCGGAATTACTTCAAGGAGCGCCGATCCAATTTGCACTCGGATATTGGGTGAAGCTCGGCACGACTGCGCCGGTGTTCGTAGGGCCGGGACTGTTTCTGAGAGATACGTGTCCGCCTGTAAGCATGCCTGAAGTTCTAGAAAAGCAGCCCGGCATGCAGCAGCATGTACAGGCAATGAGATTTTTAAGACAAAGGCACAAGACCAATGGTGGCTCCGTTGGCAATTAAAACACGGATGTTCAAAAGAAATCCACTCGCACGCTACTTGATGCGCCATCATTATTACAACAAGCAGCATACCTTAGAGCTCACAAACAAACCTTTAATATCATGTCATTTCCTTCTGGAATTAGCTTTAAAACCACGGTTATATTTTCAAAAATACTGTGAAAATTAAAAAAAAAACACAGAAGATATCTTGTGTGCTACTAAAGCCCATGCAAGCTGGGGAGGAAAGGGACTGCAAGGCTTATCCAGCACCTCCCGAAGGATGCCATTGGACGGCATTCAGTACCCGGCTGGTACGCAGAGCACATGCAGGACGTTGACCGGAGAACAGTCAACATGCGGGGATCAGCCAGGGTAACAAGCTCCGGGGGGCTCTCTTATTCACCAACAGCCTGCATGTGTCCCTGGCATTTCAGAATCAGTGACGAATCGATACAGCAGAGCCCCCAGCATCACCCATATAGCTGGGGAACAGCATTGCTTCACAAACACTACTCCACAGCGCCACCTGTCGGCACCTATGGGCTTCACTTTGGACCGACAGGTAACTGATTAATTTGCTGATCTCTGCTGTGGACATGGGCGATCTAGAGGCACACTGAACATTTGATAGATATATACTAACAGTCAAGTTTTTACACACCACGCAGGTTTTACCACTTTTCGATTTCTCATAAACTGCAGATTTTTTTATTCTTGTTAAGCACTGGAAAGTTGAGTGAACAACTACAAATGAAAGTTGAAATAAAACAAGTTTCCCCCATAACATGGAAAGAGTATGTAACAGTGCACATGACATCCTGGTAGCCGGTTGTGCGGTGAGGGTACAGTCAAATTCCAGGCTGTCCTTTAACTTTAAAAACACTAGTTAAAGGGTTTCACCCCATGAGCAGTATTTGATGTCCCTTGCAGAAAGAATGGCTCAAAATATCTCTGCTGTTATAGCTGCTAGAGGTTGCTACTTTGATGAATCAATGATATGACATTTTCTTGCTAATAATGGTACTCAAATGGTAAGAGACGTTCACAAGTCACAAAATTAGAGTCTCCAGTATGGTTCCAATTTGACATTAGTATTTATCAAAAATTTAACCGCCTATTTGCTTTTCTTCCATTAGTACCTGATGTGACTAGATGGGAATCACCACTTGAACAGTTCAAAAACTGCTTGTATTATGGTTCCTTAGGCTTATATACATTTCCAAAGTAATTGCCATTTAAATAAAATTTCTGTAAGACCCTAAGTACTTTCATAATCTAGATTTTAAAGCTAATACTTCATCAAAAATAACATGATGAAGACAAACTTTAATTAGTGTGATCAGTTACAAACAAGCCCAAAGAGGGTCCAAACCAGTTATGTACACACACACACACGCACCTGTATCTTTGTGGGTACTCTCCATTCATTTCTATGGGCAAAATCCTAATCCCAGGAATGACAACCTTAACCCAGCCCTACCCAAGCCTAACCTTAACCATAAGTAACCAAACAAAATACAAGACTTTTGGAATTTTTAGTTTTTTGATTGCAGTTACAGATTTTTATAAAATTCAACTTTCCCTTGTGGAGACCGAAAAAAAAAAAGGTCCCTAGAACGTCAAAATAAGTTATCACATTGTTGGGACAATGTAATGTATACCTGGACCTTTTCCGATTAACAAAAAAGAAGCTTCCTGTGTATGAGGCAGTCAGACCAAACTGCCCCCAGCTACGTTAAAGTGATGTGATTGTTATCTTCATTCATTAGCCAAAGACCCCGTTAGTTGTGCTGCCAAAGTACAGTAAATGCATCACAATTTCTAAAGTAAAAACTCCAATTAATGGGTAAAACTGACTTGCCTCTCAGCTCCTGTGCATGCAGGTGCTCCATTAGTCATGGGAGAGTGATCAGTGATATTACTGCTCAATCGAATTATTTGCTGCGCTATGTTTTCACTTTATTAAAACCGTTAAATATCAATGCGTGATGGAAATCCGAATAATTTAAGACATAACACACAGGACGTGGGTCACAACGCAGGCACGTTTTAAGTTGTAAGGAAATACAGCTCGACTTGGAATGGTATGTCAGAAACGTATTTTGGGATATACCTGCTAAATTATGTTTTTGGGACGTACCTGCTAAATTATCAGATTTATGGCAATCTACGTCGATCTGTGTCACTATACAACACGACGTGGGCTATATATAATTTACGACACAGGTTAAGCAACGTCTAAGTGGTGCAATCTAATGTGGGATAACACTCGCAATATAACGCGCTTTGTCATGTATCGAGTCTGCAATTTGAACTAGTGGCAAAACAAAAAGCGCGTTTGTTGGTGCCGTCTGGCGACACGCTTCTCCGGCTCCAGCTCCTATACTCTGTGCACAGCTGCACATCTTGATGTGTTTAACGCCTTTTCTGTTTGGGGAGTGTTGTACACTCAGTGCTTCGTATGTGTAGAAATTTCGGCAGAGCCTCAAAGACTCCTACTGTGCGCGAGTCGCTATCAACGAACCGAGTCCCCGTCTCTGCAAATGGTGAGCATTCTGTACATTTGTTAGCAAAGAATATCAAGTGTATTTTTAGTACATGTTAAGCGAGTAACATGCAAATGTAGAAATTCTCAGCGGGCGCAAAAACTTTTGACTGGTAGTGTAAGTTACATATTCCTCCATTTACTGACGCCCAACATGACATTGGCTGAGGGAGCCGCAGAAGCAGGTACCCTCTCGCCACATACACCATGATTTAATCACTGCCACTATTCACGAAGCACGGACAGGAAAACCCCAGCTGTGCACAGCACGTCTCCAACCATAGTAAGACCACCTTCAACTCAGCCCTGTACTGAAGCCCATACTTTACTTTTAATTCACAGCTTCAAGAACAGCAAGCAAGAAAAATGAAACCACTCCCAGCTACAATCATAGGAAAGGTACTTAGGTACTTTTACCCTTATAGCGTCTTTCTCAGGGAAAACAAGTCAATTTATAAGGTAATGCTACAAGTTAATTATGGACATTGCCCTTGCTTGAAGTACTGTATTTAAATGACTCCTTTTTTGGGCGTCTCTGGACTGATGCAGACACTTCAAAGCATTCTACACTCACAGCTAAATGTTACTGAAAGGCATTGCTCCATGCATGGAGGGAGCCTGGTGACATGCGTTACAGATGCCGTTGCCAGTGATGTGTTCCTCATGTGCCTCGTTCGTCATCGACCGAGTTACTCCGTCTTTTTTCCAGTAATTGGACCACAGAGCAGTGCACTCCTAGACACGATGACAGCACAGAAGTGAACCGTTAACCGCACTTGTACCCCTGCTTCAACACCAGCCGTGTCTGGAGCAGCACCCCTGGGTTTCGGCATGCTCCCCATTCCTGTCATGCTCCGATCCCAAACCTGACAATGTGTGACATGCTTTTGTCTGCATACCCCCAGCGAGCGTGACTTGGGTCCTTAACAGGTATAAAAAAGCCCACGGGCCCTTACCGCCAACCGCTCGTGATCGACCACCAGGGGGGGTGGCGGTGGAGGAGAATCCTCCGCCGTCTCCTCCGCTTGTGCAGCCTTCTGCTGCTCCAGAGAGGTTCTTTTACATTTCTTTGCTGTGGACGCACCTGGTACATAAGGAATCAAGCACATTAGACAATGCCATGCACAGGGTGTGATTTCACACAAATGTACAGCTATAAATACAACCACAAAGAAACAACTATAAAGTGAATTATAAGTGACAGCAGAGGCACGTTGACACAACCCACGTTTTCTAGGCCCCCTACAGAATTGTGTCATTTATCAGGAAGACAAGGGAACAGACCCTGTTCACTCTCAATCTGAACAGATATAGCAAAAGCCGTTCCCGTTCATCTGGACACGGGGCAGATGGCTGTGGTCTGAGGGGGCAGAGGAGATACCAAAGGGCAGTAGTGCAAATCGATAAGTTCTGACCGGAGCACAGGTCTGCGTTTGGGGCAAGACACCCTTGTCCTACGCTACCTTCCTTGTCGAGGTCACCCATGCTGGCGGTCTATTTTACCTTCCTTGTCGAGGTCACCCTCACTGGCTTCCAGTTCTGAGCTCTTGGGCTCCACAGCACTTTCGCCATCCTCAGCTGCCTCCTCCCCACCTCCCTCGGAGCTCCTCTTGTTGGCCTCGCTGTCCAAGCTGTCCAGTGACTCGTCCCCGTTCATGCACTCCTGCGGCCTGCCAGGCAGAGATGCTTTCTCTGCTTCAGGCTGGGGGCCCGCGAGACCCACGGGTGGCTCGTTAGAGCTCTCCTCTTCAGTTGACAGTGCATACCCATTGGGCTGAGGCCCGCCTTGTGGGGTGTCCATCGTATCGCATGAGTCTTCATCCTGGGTCAGACAGGAGTCGCTTGGTCCGGCTGTGTTTGACTCCTCGGCCGTGTCATCGGCCTCCAGTCCGCCACCCGACTCAAGTCCTTCCTCGGGCTCCTCCCCTTCGACCTCCTCCTTTTTCAGGTAGGTCCTCTTCTTGCGGATGATTCCTCTCCCCCACGAGGGCCTCCTCTTTGCCTTGCGCTTGATCTGATCTGTGATCAGAACATTAAGCATGGTTCTCAACCCTTCGCAAAGAACAGCAGCTTAGAATCACATTAAGCATTTTTCAGTACAATGAAATGCAAGAAATGAGTCCAGTCTATAAACAATTAGTGAACGGAAAATCCTAATGCACAAAAGCTACTTGCTTAATTACTTTTGAACGAGCCTGAAATGCATTAATTGAAAGTAACAGCAACCAAATATTCAGAATAAATTTATAAAATTCCCTGTTTTGCTCTTTCCCAGCATTGGTCCTACTAGATAGGCACCAGAGCCAATGAGTGAAAAAAGATGTACTCGTAATTACCGAGAAGGCAATTAAATCTACCTCCCCAACCCACCCACCCACCTTGCAGACAATTGCTTTTTGTCAGTGAAATCGATTGCATTGAACTAGAAGCCCTTCAGATATAATCTAACACCAACCACATGCTGAACAGAGACGAGAGGCAGGGCAGAAAACAAGCTGGAAACTGGGATCGGGATAAGAAACATGCCCAGTGACACCAACCATAAAGGTAAATCCATGACTGGCACATTAGTTTGGTTTTATGCTCTGCCATTAAGATAAAATAATTATTATGAGGATGCAATTAGAAACAGGACCAATGGGGGGGGGGGGTTAATCAATCGTCTCTTAATATTCACAGCAAATGAGCACAGTCAGACAATTATGACTTAAAAATTCAATATTGGTAATTTTTTTAGTGACTGGTAAACAAAATTAAAGTTCACGCTCAAGCACTGAATCAGTGGTAGGGGGAGAAATGCCTGTCTGGAAGAGATTCCACTTCTCAAAAACATTTCACCACGGGCTTCAGCAGACGTTTCGGATTTTTTTTTTTTTTTTAACTCCATTACCCACCTCGCTCACATGCACATAGCTTGAGGAGCATATTTTAATCCGAGCGCTTTTAACACTGACACTGTAGGACAGGCTGAAACTCAAGGACTCCCAGCTGTCAAAGGCCAAAGGTTCCATATTTTCCTAAAACCATTAAAATGAAGGCTCCATTCTAATGCACAAAACCGTATAATGATCAGGCACTGGTTTGCCCAGGACAGAACACATTTACCTGCTGCCATTTGGCTGAAACAAGATACTATAATACAAAGTATCAAAAATTCACCCTTGAAACTATCATCTGTTTTATTTTTCATGTTACTGTAACAGGGGGCACTTTCTACCTTGGGATGTTTTGTTTGCACATTTATAAAGATACAGATTTTGATGCCAAAATGAAGCGACACTGATCAGCTCTTGATACTAATGTTTCTTAATTCCCATAAAGTCACGTCTGGTCACTGCCCAAATTAGTCTTTTCTCATTCTGCGTTCCATTTGAACTCAGAAATTTCAACTGGAACGCTCCCCTCAAGTTGGAATTCCTACTCATGAACTCCGAGGAATCGACACAACCCCGAGCTCAGAATCCAAGATAGCTGCACACTTATCATCAATAGAAGTGAAATCTGTAGTTATATGCTGTTTATTACCACTTATGTCTTATTTGTGGCTCATTAAATCTGTTGTACACTAAGTACTGTCCAACTTATCTATGGATGTGTTTCTATGGAGTTTTATGCACAAAACACTGTGTAATGTGTTATCAACTGATATTGCTAACAATGGCTAACAACTGGGCTAGAACTGGATTGCATGCTTAGTCGGATTTTATGTTGGAGTTAAGGTAGTCCGGGCTAAATGTAAGTGAGTGAACATAAAGCCCATATAAACTGAGGTACCTTAAATCTGACAAGTTGTCCAGCTAAGCAGGAAATCTTACCTTTTGAAACAGGTCCCTGGTATTGTTAAATGGCTTTTCCAACTTGTTGTACTGGAACGCATTTACCTCGTGTGTGACATCATTCCCAATTCCGACCTCTGAGGTAAATGTAACGCAGCATTATAAATGCTGCCAGTTGAATGACTCATTGTCGTATATGCTCTCTGTATTTTATATATAAAACCACACACACACACACACACACAAGCATGTAAATGTACTCAGGAACCAAATTAAACCATTATGGATTCATAACATTTTCAGAAATCCATGGGGGGGGGCACCAGACAGCAGTGAGGGGATGTGGTCTTAGATGTACCACTGGGGCGCTTCACAGACATCTCCCTTCACTGGTTGCCCCCCAAAACACCTCAGGACTTAATCCTCATTCACAAGCCTCCTCTGAAAACAGCGCAGTTTTTTTCCAGCTACATTCTCAGATATCCTCAAGTAAAGAGCAAAGCAATTTGCTCAATTACAGATTTACATTTGATAAATTATTCTTTGTTAGTGTAAATACGGTAAATGAATCATTCACAATGTTGCCATTTTCAACCTGCAGCATTATAGTGCTTTATCTTCAGCAGGCTTCAACAGTCCTACTCCTGATGTGACTTGTGTAGAGGGTATGCACATGATGTCACAGTAGAGGAAGGTCACTGCGTACTCCCATTGGGTGGCAAAAAAAAATATATTAAATGAGTGGCAGCGTTACCGTTCAGCCTCTATGCCAGAAACACACATTTAACATGTGAAAGAGCCGTTGTACGACTACATAAGAACATAAGAAATTTACAAACGAGAGGAGGCCATTCGGCCCACCAAGCTCGTTTGGGGAGAACTTAATAGCTCAGTTGTTAAAATCTTATCTAGCTCTGATTTAAAGGTACCCAGGATTTTAGCTTGCACTACATTAGCAGGAAGACTATTCCATACTCTAACTACACACTGTGTAAAGAAGTGCTTTCCCAAATTCAGTTTAAAATGTTCTCCCGCTAATTTCCACCTATGGCCACGAGTTCTAGTATTTAAACTAATATTAAAGTAGCCATTTGGCTAAACAGCATCCAGACCTTATAGAATCTTATAGACCTGGATCATGTCCCCCCTTAGTCTCCTTTGCGCGAGGCTGAACAGATTCAGCTCAGCTAACCTCTCATCATAAGACTGATTATACAAATCAATTTAACAGGAAATTTGAGCTCTTTTTACATTCAGCTGAAAATTAAGACAGAAGCAAATGGATTGCTGCAATCTGAAGAAACATCCAGAAACATGCCTCTGAATCGTGGATTTATGACTGTCACTTCATGCTAATTATGTTAGATTTTTGTGTAAAATATCGCAAGTTATTAACTGTATTGACTACTCATCAGTTAAATATTTAGCATCATTCATTTATATTCTCCGTAACTTAAGGTCTAGTCAGCATTTATTTAAAAAAAAATCCATGATGAACATTATGTTCTACAAACAAAGGGGGGGTAGTGTTAGCTGGCCAAGACAAGCCCAATTTTCCTTACAAGGGGCTGCATGTTAAAGCACATTTAGACAGTCAGGTTACTTTCTACAAGATATGTTGTCAGGAAATCAACCTCCTGGACATATATGAATGTCCATGGTCCACTGGTCCTTCGGTAAGGTGTACGAATCACTTTAAATTTAAGGAAATAATCGTTTGTTTCTCAGTTTCTCTGAATGAAATCACCATAGTGCACAATGTTTTGCCTCGCAGTCTGTCTAAGGGGGAGTGTTCCGGGGGAAAGGGACATCAATGAAAGGGACACTCTAAAAATGAGAGATAGACTCCAAACCTCTCTTTCATGTCCCCCATGTTTACCAAATCAAAAGTCCTGTCAGGAGGCGGGATGTGTGAAGCCAGCAGTGTCTCCGAGGCAAACTCCATTTTAGGGTCATGACCCCCTATGCCTTGCAGTGCACATCTGCCCGCTCCTGGTGCCACATGGGTTGGGAAGTGTATGGCTTCCAAACTGGACAGATAATGGCAAAGCTATGGGGTCATGGGGCAGATGCCACATTATGAGGGAGGCTCTGTGATACGACGCCAAGAAATCCAGACATGGCACATTCTTCATTAAGGAATGTTTCATCTTTATTTAACTTTCCAATGTAACCATTGTGATCTAATCAGTTGTTAGCGTTTACCGAGACCTCATCTTAAAACCTTTCAAAATCAGATTATCCACAAACTGGGTGTACAGATGTACAAAATAAAGGACTTAATGCTGGAAATGAAACACTGCAGCCTGATGGGCATGTCTACACTTTCAGTGTTTGAGGAATTCAGTGTTTATGGGGTCACGTTAAAGACAGGGAATACACAATACCATCCCCTCACTGTCTCGAGTACGAGCTACGCGCATCACATTATAAGGACGAGATCGCGACTCTCAGTCTCGAGTACGAGCTACGCGCATCACATTATAAGGACGAGATCTCGGCTCTCACCGTCTCGAGTACAAGACACGCGCATCACATTATAAGGACGAGATCATGACCCTCACCGTCTCGAGTACAAGACACGCGCATCACATAATAAGGACGAGATCGCGACTCTCACAGTCTCGAGTACGAGCTACGCGCATCACATTATAAGGACGAGATCTCGGCTCTCACTGTCTCGAGTACGAGCTACGCGCATCACATTATAAGGACGAGATCTCGGCTCTCACCGTCTCGAGTACGAGCCACGCACATCACATTATAAAGACGAGATCTCGGCTCTCACCATTGCCAGTACGAGCCGCACACACATCACATTATAAGGACGAGATCACGACCCTCACCGTCTCGAGTACAAGACACGCGCATCACATAATAAGGACGAGATCGCGACTCTCACCGTCTCGAGTACGAGCCACGCACATAACATTATAAAGACGAGATCTCGGCTCTCACCATTGCCAGTACGAGCTGCACACACATCACATTATAAGGACGGGTTCACGGCTTTCACAGCCTGAAATGTCATGTTATAAGGAAGAGTTCACAGCTGTTATGCTCAAGGTTTTAATGCACATTACAATCCAGTCTGATTTATTACAGTCTTTACAAAGACCCCATGATTCAGTATCAGCCTAAATGACATTATCCTGGCTAAGTTAACTGAAAAAGGGGGCAGTACTACTCCAGACGGGGGGAAGGAGGGCCAACACACTACTTGTTCCCAGCAAATGGTCATGG